TCATCATCAATGAGTGTCTTCCTTAATTGTTCTCCAAATTATATTTGAAATTAGATCTCTTACATATCCTGGAACTCATCAATTTGGATAGCTATCCACCAAGTCCTAGGGAGACTAGGGTCTCTGTTTTCTTAGTACTGGGATCACAAGCATGCCCTGGCTTCTTATTTTATTTGTATTCCTTCATATGGGGTCTCAGTGTGGGGCTCTGAATAGTCTGTAACACACTGCATAGACTAGGTTTGCCTTTAACACCAGAAAAATGCCTTACTTTGCTCCCAAAATACCTATTAAAGATGAGCAACAACATGCCAGGCCAGGACCTGGTTTCTTATATGGACACAGGGATCTGAATTCAGGTCCTTAGCTTATGGAGCAAGTACTTTATCCAAGAATAATCTCTAGTCCTTTTTATTTAAGTGTAGAAAACTTCTTGGATTAGAAAACGAGTGTTAGTGTCCAAAAATATCAGTGAAACCATAAAAGCATTTCTTACATATATTAGAGCATATGTTCTTTAAGTTTGGAATGACAAGATAAATGCTAGCAGATTCCCACAATAGTTCGTACTTGGGTATGGGATATATCAAATTGTGTCTAAACAGTCATAAATATGTGTATACTGACATGGTAACTTCAGTTCACGGCTCAAGGCAATATGTGCATATAGGGAAAAAGGTTGGGACAAGAGTTAAAGATAAACAGTTCTGATTCTCAACTTTCATCTTAAACATATGGAGGCAACAAGATCAGGGGAGGAAGTACAGTCATCCTTCTGTATCCATGGAGAATTGGTTGTAGGTCCCTAAGGATACCGATCAGAAGATGTTCTCATTCTTTATATAGAATAGCATAGATCGCCATGTAACCCATGCGCATACTCCCTAACTAGGATGCCTAACAATACTTACTACAAAAGAAACTGTGGAAGTAGTTGTTACATTGTACTTTTAAAGAATTAAGAAAAAAACTGTCTGTGTTTAGTATGAATATTTTCTTCCTCAATATTAGTTGGCTCTATGTCTACAGAACCTACAGAAATGAAAGGACTACATAACTGCCTATTAGAAGGCAGAAAATCAAGCTGGGCTTCAGATGACTCAGCCTCAAATTGTTCCATAAGACAAAGTATATTAAGATATTTAAACTATTTATTGTCTTATCAATTGACGGTTGTATTGACCTAAGTCTTCAGTTTTGAGGTTAAGATGGGGGCTATTTATGTGTGGATATATAATATGTGCATAATATGTATTATGTATTATATGTATTAGTAGAGACATATGTTTTCAATAAGAGGGAAGTATGTATTAGCAACAACAATGTGTCATGGAGGAATATGCATGCGATAGGATAACTTTATGCTGCGTGACCAACACAAAAATACTGGCTTGCATTTGGTCTTCATAACTAAATTTTTCAGAAGAACACAAAACCTTTCTAGGGTCAATGGAAACTCTGAACTTGGAGTGGCTTCAGGAAGACATTAGAAAGAGTAGTATTTTCTCCTTAAATCACAAAGTAAGATTCAAAACTGAAAAACCTACAGTCAACTTACTATTTACAACCATGGGCTTTTTCATAACTCACTGCACACTGAAGCAGCGACTTTGCAAAGAATACGTGGCTGGCAGAGAGCATAGGTCCGAATCTGCTCTCTGAAACCCCGCGAAACTAATTTCCATGTCCAAGCTAGTGTTTCAAAGAGATTTCTTTTCATGTGTTTTCCTAGGAGGGCAAGATTTCAAAGAGGAAACTAAGCAAAGCAAGGTAACCCCCGAGCTGCCGGCTGGGGCTTCAATTAGCATTTCTGACTAATACTTTGGCAAAATTACTCACAAATATTTCCAGAGTTGAGAAATCATCTCGTGGTACATGTTTGCTCATATTCTCAGCACAGCAGGTTTGCAAGTTTCTGCTGTGGGAAGTGTGGACATTCTGTTTTTACTATCATGTTTATTTGTGCATGCTACTTCTATGTCAAACAACGTGTTTAGAAATGGGAGAGGAAATGATTGGCACCAACCTTTGTGAGTCAATTATAGACCTGCATGCATATACAAGTATATGCATGCATATAAAAATAGACATATCAAACCAAGAAGTATTTAAAATAACACTTTTTTGGTATTAATTAAAATATTAATCAGTTGACAGGGTAAAAATGTAAAGCTTTGTAAGGCCTAGTTATAAAATTGGAAAGGCCTCAGAGACCACCATCTGTTCCAATCGCATCATTTTACAAAAGGAAATCTGAGGACCAGGGCAACAAAACAACTTCCCTGGGGTCACATGCAAAGTCAACAGCAGAGCTGGGACAGTGATCAGGTCCCTTAACCTCCAGGCTATGCTCATTCACAGAGAGTGCTTCAAAGGGTATTTATAACACATAGTCATTCATGGCTTATCTTTTGATAATACTGCATTGACTTACATTATTCTGGGTTCAAAACAGTCTTCATCAATGCGATTTGTTAAAGGTGAAACAGATATTAACAGAAATGGCAAAGCTTTTACTACTCATTCTTGATACTTATATGTAGTAATATGTGTGCGCATGTGTGTGTGTGTGTGTGTGTGATGTATTATGGGGGAGAGAGAGAGACAGAGAGAGAGAGAGAGAGAGAGAGAGAGAGTGAGAGAGAGGGAGGGGAGGGAGAGAGGGAGGAAGGGATATAGAAAGAAAGATAGAAAGAGAGAGAACCAGAATATACACACAATCTCTTTATTCACTGTTTTGAAATCCTTAAATAGTTTGCTTTCCATAGACCCTCGATGAAATCCACAGGAGGGAAAACTGATGTGAAGTGATGTGAAGGCATCAAAAGGTTTCTAGTGTGGTCCCTTGCATTTTACTTTAGAAATGGCAACATGTTTAATGATAGGTGCTCCTTTAGACACTGGAGGACACATGTGTTCTGTGCCTAAGAGAGAAGAAAAAAAGTTGACTCCAAAGTGATGGTGTTGGAACTGGATTCTTTCTGACTTTCTGCTCTCTGTCTCTTATTCCTCAACTTCCCTAGTGACAGACCATGAAAATCATAAACTCACTTCCCCAGGGCAGGTCATAGAAGCCAGAACACATTTCCCCTAAAACAGGCATAAAAACTCAAAACATCTTTTACCTTTCTGCCCTACTTTGTTTGACTATAAGTCAAAGAACTCCCACCCAGAAAGCAAGAAATACCAAGCAACCAGAAGAATCTGAAGAGACAGGCCCTCATGGGTTTCCTGACTCTTCCTCCTTAAGCTCCTGTCTTTGGATCCATTCACATGTCTACACCCCTGTCTGTTGGAGCAGGCTTTCTTTTGGGCTACCAGGTGGCTCCCAGATCAAGACATGGACACTTATTATTAGCTATAAATGCTGATTGTCCCACTAGTTCTTTTTGTTTTTGTTTGTTTGTTTTTTTTTTCGAGACAGGGGTTCTCTGTTACTTTGGAGGCTGCCCTGGAACACGCTCTGTAGACCTGGCTGGCCTCGAACTCACAGAGATCCACCTGCCTCTTCCTCCCAAGTGCTGGGATTAAAGGCGTGTGTCACCACTGCCCGACCCCACTAGTTCTTATATTGTAATTTAACCTGTACCTCTTCATCTATGTTTTACCTTGAGGCTTTTAATCTTTCTTTCATTTTGTATATCCTACTCCATATTTACCTGACTGACCCCTGTCTTGCTGGCCCCTGGAGTCTAACTCCCTTTATTCCTCATTCTCCATTGAGCCTAATTAAGATTCCTCCTTTTATTTATTCTCTCTGCCCACCAGCCCTGCCTATCCCTCTACTACTGCCTAGCTATTGGCCACTCACCCTTTTATTAAAACAATTATGTGCCTTAAACAGGCAAGATGAGACAGCAACAGATCTTCACACAGTTAAATGCAGCATAAACAAATGTAACACACCTTTCCATAGTTAAAGCAATATTCCACAATAATCTGTACTTCACAGTAATGGAGCATATGAATGTATAGTTCACTCTAAATCCCTAGGCTTTCAACCTGAAAGATTTCCGGCCGTGGAAAATTCTAAGTAAGCTTGCAGAGTTTTTCTTTTGCTAACTAGTCTTGTGTTAACCCTGCGACTCCTTATGATGCTGCCCACTTTCCACTGATACAAAGATTAGATACATGACATAGTGTCCTTATGACTGATCCCATAGTCGTTCTCAATTTTGTAACTAGTGGTTGTGGATAAGTGATTTGGAACCTTTAATTTATTCCGAATATAATTTTATTACATTAGTTTAGACTGCTTTGGCTTACAAGCATGAGGCTCAGAAAACCTTCTTACAGGTATGTTTGTCCTTAGTTCAGAATATGTGAGCCAAAGAGAATTAGATGAAGTAAGCAGAGGACTACCTATGAAACGTAAGCTTAGTTTCTTTACCATCATTTGTGGTTTAGGAACTGGAGGCAAAGTCTATGTTGTATTTTGGCAGCTGCCTAACCCAAGTTTCGCATTAAATAACCTCCTTTTCCTTATTTCTCGACCTTTTGTAACTTTCTTTTTATAGTCTTATTTTAAAACAATATGGTGTGTGTGTGTGTGTGTGTGTGTGTGTGTGTGTGTGTGTGTAGAGGGCATTGGGTCCCTGGAACTAAGGTAATAAGCAGCTGTGAGCCTCTCGGCATGGGTGTTGGGAACCAAACTCTTTTACTTTTTAAGAGTAGCAAACTCTTTTAATGATTGAGCCATTTCTCCAGTTCCTATGGCCTTCTTTTAGATATTTATTATAAGCTAGATCAAGTGTTCACACATATGTGGGAACCAAATTAAAGAATTTCTGCCCTAAGACACCTAATCATTCTATTTTCTAATGTAGTCAGTAGTTGCAACAGTTTGAATGGGAAATACCCACCATAGACTCAGGTATTTGGACACTTGATTCCCTGTTTTGGGGGTGCTGCAGGGGGAAGTGGAGCCTTGTTGGAGGGAGTATGTCATGGGGGTGTGGCTTTGAGAGTTCAAAAACTCACCCTATCTCTTGTTTTTTCAGCTTTTCATTTGTTGTTGAATTTGTGATCTCTTGGCTTCCCGCTCCTGCAGCCATGCTTGCCACTTGATGCTATGTCCCTGGCCATTATGGACTCTCCTGGAACTGGAATCCCAGATAAAGTATTTTCTCTACAGATTGCTGTGGTCATGGTGTTTTATCACAGCACTGGAAAATAATTAACACGACAATAATGAATTGGAGAGTAATCTGTCAAATGTTTATAGTTTGGGATGGGTTTGGTGAGTAGGTTAGCATGTACATGCATTCCACTATCTAGAACATGTATTGTTATATTATGTTTCCTAAGTGTGCTCAAGGTTCTGAAAAGTCTGTGGTCAACTGGATGAGATTGGTTCAGTCTCAGGTGGAATTCAGGTTTGCTCAATGGCATACGTAGAGGAAGCTCAGCAATCAGGGAAAACTCACAAAGTCAATCCTTTCTTTATTGAGAGCAAATAACCCCAACTAAAAAAATCTGACCTATCATAGAGTATCAGAATAATTACATGCTCACAAATGAGTAAAGCTGGATGTCTTGGTTTTTCTTTGTCTTTACCCAAGTACAATTTATAGATTAAAAAGTCAGTGTTTGGCATGCATTAAGCCTGTCCTCATTTTGGCTGTCCCTAATCACATGGTGACAGCCACGTTAAATTGAAGATTCTTGCTTATTTCTCTGTACATGTTGATTTCAGCAGAGGAAGCTGCTCCATCTTTTTGATAACAGGGTCTGTAATGTAAACTTGCTTGGATTGGATTGTCTAAGGACTCAAGCTTGATGTACTCCAATACTCTCTTAAGATATCCCAGGTTTAAAAAAAGGCAATGCTGGCACCTAACTGAAAGATAAAGAGCCAGGAATGAGGTCCCTCCTGAACTTGACTTGGCCTCGGACAAGCCTTCTGTTTCTTTGTGCTTCAGTTTTTCCTTCTGTGGAACATAGAAGAACGGTGTGTTGAAAGATTGTAAGAGTCAGACTTTGTGGAAGACTGGACTGGAATTGTCTTCTGGACATAGGAAGGCATTGGTACTCGTATCACATTATCTGTGGTTGTCTGCACAAGACTTGCACAAGATCAAGCCAGTCAACATTTCAGCACAGGTAGGGATGGGATAAGATTACCACCCACAATTGAGGCATGATGGACAGCTGATAGATTCTGGAGGAGGAAAACTGATTTTCTTTAAGTTGTGAACCCTGGAAGACTGGCCATGTTTCCAGAGCTTTACCCAAACCGGTAAATACATGGGCAGCACAAATTGGACTTTGTGGATTATAAACAAAAGGAGAAGTGCTCAAGCTCAATGACAGTGATTAGGATTGAGAATGCCTGCTGCTCTTGAAAAGGCCCTGGGTCTAATTCCTAAGTCCAATATCAGAAGGCTCACAACTGTCTTAAGAGTCAAGCTCTAGGGGTAAAATGTACTCTTCTGGTTTCTGTGGACATTGCCCTTACACACACACGCACACACACACACACACACACAGAGAGAGAGAGAGAGAGAGAGAGAGAGAGAGAGAGAGACAGACAGACAGACAGACAGACAGACAGACAGACAGAGACAGAGACAGAGAGACGTAAAGTAAAATCTTTAGAAATAAAAGAGTGCATGAAGTTGGGTTGGGGTATATGAGGAGATGGGGGTAGATCTGGGAGGAATTAGGGTGGAGTGGAGGGTAAATATAATCAAAATACATCATATGCATGCATGAGATCTCAAAATTTTAAAAAACTGTGATGTTTTAGAAAGTACAGATTATAAATCCATTGTTAACTATCAAAAGAAAAATACACAAAAGCAATTATAAGATGGTAACTTCTAAAGGAAAAATTCATATCACAGGCTACATAAGAGCTAATGAATAATATCTTTCAGGTACTTAGTGGAGACAAATGGAAGTAGTTATCTACTACATCAACACTTAAATGTTACTGGGCACTACACAATGAACCTCTGTAACCTGAAAACCCAACATGCTCCAAAATTTAAAACATTTTGTGTGTCAAGATGATGCCAAAATGGAAAATTCCATTATATAATACATTGTTTCAAAAATTGTTACTAAAATGTCATATGAGGTAATATGTGGGCTATGTGCATAAGATGTGTATGAGAGCCCTATTAACTGAGTCGTTTACTCACCATTGTAGCCACATGAAATAAACTCTTACTCTTATTTTACAGATAAGGAAATTGAAGCTTATGGGACTCAAGTCACAGCCAGTTTCATAGAGCAAACAAACTATAGCATCTGAGATTTAATCTAGATCATGCATTCCTGTAATATTTTTGCCTTTGTTTTCAAAATGTTTTTGAAGACTGTGGAGTCCATTTCCCTCCTTTTCTTTCTCTCCTCTCTCTTCTTTCCATTTTTAATTTATCTCCAATCTCTGTCTTCCTTCCATTCTTAAATATCATACCTGGGGAAGGGTACCTATTTATTTTTTAAATTTTATTTTATTTTTAAATTTAAATTAGAAACAAGGTTGCTTCACATGTCAATTCCAGTTTCCTCTCTCTTCCCTTCTCCCTTGCCCTCCATCCCCCTCCCGTAATCCCCACTCCTTTCCCCAGGGACAGTGAGGCTCTCCATGGGGGTGTCTATAGTCTATCATTTCATCCAGGGCAGGGCCTAGACCCTCCCCCAAGAGTCCAGGGTGAGAGAGCATCCTCATTTTGGGATGGGCACTCATGTCTAAAATCCATATATGAGTGAGTACATAACATGTTTGTGTTTTTGTGACTGGGTTATCTCATTCAGGATCATTTCTTCTAGTGCCATCCATTTGCCTGCAAATTTCAAGATTCCATTGGTTTTTTTTCCACTGAATAGTACTCCATTGTGTAAATGTACACATTTTCTTTATCCACTCTTCAGATGTGGAACATCTAGGTTACTTACAGGTTCTGGCTACTACAAATAATGCTGCTATGAACATAGCGGAGCAGATGCCCTTGTTGTATGAATTTGCCTCTTTTGGGTATATGCCTAAGAGTGGAATTGCTGAGTCTTGTGGTAGGCTGATTCCCATCCTGAGGAATCTCCAAAGTGGCTGTACGAGTTGGTGCTCCCACAACAGTGGAAGAGTTTCCCCCTTTCTCCAGTATAAACTGTCATTGGTGTATTTGATTTTAGCCATTCTGACAGCAGTAAGATGGTATCTCAGAGTTGTTTTGATTTGCATTTCCCTGATGGCTAGGGATATTGAACACTTTCTTAAGTGCCTCTCAGGCATTTTAGACCCCTCTATTGAGAATTCTCTATTTAGTTATGTACCCCACTTTTTAATTGGATCTTTTGGTGTTTTGGAGACTTGCTTCTTGAGTTCTTTGTAAATTTTAGAGATCAGCCCTCTGTCAGATGTGGGGTCAGTGAATATCTTTTCCCATTCTGTGGGTTGCTTTTGTGTCTTGTTGACTGTGTCCTTGGCCTTACAGAAGTTTCTCCGTTTCAGGAGGTCCCATGTATTAATTGTTGACCTTAATGTCTGTGCTACTGGTGTTCAGGAAGCAGTCTCCTGTACCACTTCATTCAAGGGTACCTCCTGCTTTCTCTTCTAAGAGGTTCAGTGTGGCTGGATTTATGTTGAGGTCTTTGATCCATTTGGATTTAAGTTTTGTGCATGGAAATAGACATGAATCTATCTGCATTCTTCTATATGCCAGTATCCAGTTCTGCCAGCACCATTTGTTGAAGATGCTATCTTTTTTCCATTGTATATTTTTAGCTTATTTGTCAAATATCAGATGTTCATATGTGTATGGGTTAATATCGGGTGTTCAATTTGATTTCATTGGTCTACCTGTCTATTTTTGTTCCAATACCAAGCTGCTTTCAGGACTACAGCTCTATAATAGACCTTGAAATCAGGGATGGTGATGCCTCCGGACATTGCTTTGTTGAATAGGGTTGTTTTGGCTATCCTGGGTTTTTTGTTTTTCCATATAAAGTTGATTATTGTTCTTTCAAGGCCTATGAAGAATTGTGCTAGGATTTTAATGGGGATCGCATTGAATCTGTAGATTGCTTTTGGCAAGATTGCTATTTTTACTATGTTGATCCTACCTATCCAAGAGCATGGGAGATTTTTCCATTTTCTGGTGTCTTCTTTAATTATTTTTTTAAAAAACTCAGCGTTTTTGTGATACAGGTCTTTCACTTGTTTGGTTAGCGTTACCCCAAGATATTTTATGTTTTTTGTGACAATTGTAAAGTTTCTCAGCCCTTTTATCATCTGTATATAGTAGAGCTACTAATTTTCTTGAGTTGATCTTGTATCCTGCCACTTTGCTGAAAGTGTTTATCAGCTGCAGGAGTTCCCTGGTAGAGTTTTTTGGGTCACTTATGTAAGTTATCATATCATCTGCAAATAGTGAAAGTTTGACCTCTTCCTTTGTCATATTGCTCTAGGTAGAACTTCAAGTACAATATTGAAGTGTTATGGATAGAGTAGACAGCCTTGTCTTGTTCCTCATTTTAGAGGAACCACATTGAGTTTCTGTCCATTTAGTTTGATATTGGCTGTTGGTTTGCTGTATATAGCTCTTACTATGTTTAGGTATGTTCCTGTTATCCCGGATCTCTCCAAGACCTTTATCATGAAGGGGTGTTGGATTTTGTCAAATGCTTTTTCAGCATCTAGTGAGTTGATGATGCAATTTTTGTTTCTCAGCTTGTTATATGGTGGATTACAATTATGGATTTTTGTATGTTGAACCATCCCTACTTCCCTGGGATGAAACCTACTTGGTCATGGTGGATGATTGTTTTGATGTGTAGTGGTATAGCTCAGTGGTAGAGCATTTAACTGTACTTATTGTTTTAAGATATCAAGTAATTCCATTTATTAGAAATGATAATTACAGGAACTTTTCTGTCCTGAATGTTCTTAACGAATGGCTCCAGTTATTCCTTTGGAAAGTGAGATGCAAAAAATATTGTGGAATAGAAAATTTATCTTCCATAAACTATCCTCTACTGCAGTCTATTACAGATATTGTCATTGTTATCTGGGAGACTTCAAGAGCTACAGACCAAAGTTGGCTATAATCACAGTAATTACAATATTGTTAGTTTGTGGTCTTATCTTTATTAGAGAAGAACAGAATAACACATCCTA